AGAGCTAGTCATCGAAGACGTAGCGCAAATCACCGCCCTGATACCCAAAGCCATAAACTTCGCCTACGTCGACGAAGCAATGCTACAAATCAACTTAATGGGCTCAGAAGACAATCTACACGGCAGACGAACAACCGACTTTGCGATCCTAGAACCCGAACCGGATAAAGGCGAGCATAAAGAGGTGCTGCTGTTTGAATTCATCGATGGCGATTTGAAGCGCCAGGTTCAACATAAGAAAACGGGAGAGCCGACAAAGGCTACGACGAAGTTACGGAATGAGGATCTCAAGATGCCGGTGTACAGTCAGAAGCAGATGATGAATCTGATTGAGAAGAGGAATGTCAAGTTTACGTCGGCGGTGAATGCGTTTTTGAATCAGTGTGCTGAGGAGGGGGTGGATTCGGTAGAGAAGATTATAGAGGTGTCGAAGGCGTTTGTTCCTGTGGAGACTGCGAGTCGGCACTCTACACCTGGTCCGGATAGATCGCTCATACCTGCTTCCATACCCGCGGAACGGCAGCCGATACCCGATATCCTGAACGAGATCAAGACGATGGAGTGGTATACCGGGCAGATCGTGCCAGATGGCCACCGTGTTTTCGACCCTCAAGAAGCTGTCTTCGGCGACTTGAACTTCGCCATGTCGCAGAATCTCGTCAACGCGCTGTATAATACGAGGAATATCACTCAACTGTACGCTCACCAAGCGGAGGCCATCAACAATCTTTACGACGGGCACAATGTGATTGTGTCTACTTCGACGAGTTCTGGTAAATCGTTGATTTACCAGATACCGGTTTTGCATCAATTGGAACAAGAGCCTAATACGAGGGCTATGTATATCTTCCCGACGAAAGCGCTCGCGCAGGATCAGAGGAAGAGTATGAAAGAGCTGTTAAGATTTATGCCGGGGTTTGAACAGGTGCTGGTTGAGACGTTCGATGGCGACACCCCGATGAGTGATCGTAATTACATTCGCGACGAGGCACGCATCATCTTCACCAACCCGGATATGCTACATATTACCATACTACCGCAAGAAGATGCCTGGCGGACGTACCTTCAAAATCTACGATTTGTGGTAGTAGACGAATTGCACGTTTACAATGGGCTATTTGGAGCACATATGGCGTTTATCATGCGCCGTCTACGCAGGATATGTGCGGCGTTGGGAAACCGGCATGTCAAGTTCATTTCCTGCTCGGCTACAGTCGCGAATCCTGAAGAGCACATGAAGACTATCTTTGGTGTTGACGAAGTCAAGTTGACAGACTTTGACGGATCTCCTTCCGGACGCAAAGAGTTTCTGTGCTGGAATACGCCGTTCAAAGACCCTGGTGATCCTACATCTGGACGCGGTGATTGTATGGCAGAGACGGCAAAACTCTTCTGTCAACTGATGTTGAGAGGAGTGAGGGCTATTGCTTTCTGCCGTGTGCGGAAGCAGTGTGAAGCGCTACTTGCTGCTATCAAGACTGAACTGACCAACCTTGAAAGACCGGAAGTCATTGCTCGTGTTATGTCTTATCGAGGCGGATATACCCCGCAAGACAGACGAGAGATCGAGCGAGAGATGTTCGACGGCAAGCTCTGCGGTATCGTGGCTACTAGTGCTCTGGAGCTTGGTGTCGATATCGGATCTCTGGACGCTGTCGTTACGGTCGGCTTTCCATACACCATCGCCAATCTTCGTCAGCAAAGCGGCCGTGCTGGACGGAGGAATAAAGACTCGCTATCCGTTCTAGTCGGCGATTGCTTTCCTACTGACCAGTACTACATGTCCAACCCTGACGAGATCTTCACAAAACCCAATTGCGCACTCCAAGTCGACCTAGAAAACATGCTCGTCCTGGAAGGTCACGTCCAATGCGCCGCCCACGAGATGCCCATCAACGTCTCAGTAGATACCTCCTACTTCGGCCCTCTCCTCCCCAAAATCGCCCGCGAGCGCATGCGCTGCGACAAAGAAGGTTTCTACCACGTCAACACGCGCTTCCTCCCGCAACCCTCACGCACAGTCGCAATCCGCGACACAGAAGAAGACCACTTCGCCATAATCGACGTAACCCACGGCAAAAACACCGTTCTCGAAGAACTCGAAGCCTCGCGCGCCTTCTTCACCCTCTACGACGGCGGCATCTTCCTGCACCAAGGAAACACATACCTCGTCAAGGAATTCAGCCAAGAGCGCATGCTCGCAAAAGTCGAATACGTAAAAGTAGATTGGACAACCCAACAACGCGATTACACGGACATTGATCCCGTGGAAACAGAAGCGATCCGGCGTATCCCCGGTTCAAGGTCGAAAGCCTTTTACGGGCCTATCAAGATCCAGCAAGTCGTGTATGGTTTCTTCAAGATTGATAAGAAGAGACGGATTCTGGATGCTGTGCAAGTTGATAATCCGCCTATTATACTGTTTAGCAAGGGCATGTGGCTCGACGTGCCCAAATCCGCTCTCGATATCCTTCGATCGCGAAGGTTGAACATCGCAGCGGGTATCCACGCCGCCGAACACGCCGTTCTGTCTCTCATGCCCAACTTCGTGATCAGCATGCCCGGCGACGTCCGCACCGAATGCAAAGTCCCCGAAAAAGAATTTCTCGCCAAAGAATCCACACGCAAACGTCCCGCACGCCTGACTTTCTACGACGCAAAAGGCGGTGCGAGCGGTAGCGGTATCAGCACCAAAGCCTTCGAGTTCATCGACACCCTGCTCGAGCAAGCATGCCAGCGCCTCACTTCCTGCCACTGCCTCGAAGGCTGCAACGAATGCTGCAACGACGACGCGTGTAAACAGCATAACCAAGTCATGTCCAAAGCCGGCGCTATGGTCATCATAATGTGTCTGCTCGGCCGCGAACACAAAATCGACATTGACAGTCTGCCGTGGGGTGAGGAGGATGTGGAGGCGGGTTTCGATACGGTGGTTGAGGCTGTGGGGGTGAGGATGGCGGAGGGGAGGACGAGGGATGGTGGGGTTTTGCCTGGGGAGGGAGATGAGGGGGAGATGGTGGATGGGAAGGGGGAGGATATGGTTAGGGCGAAATTGGTGGATGGGGTTTGGATTAAAGAGGAGGAGGAGGAGGAGGATCATTTTTCGAGGAGTATTCATATGTATAGGGGGGAGAGGACGTTTATTGGGGTGCATAGGAAGTGAAGGATGAGGGAGTTGTACGCGTGGCGTTCGCTTTGAACGAGGGAGTCTACGGGTGTCATACATGCCTTATGTACCTTTGGCAATGATATTCTTTACTGATGTGTACTGACCAAGTCTATGAGAGAGCTAAGAGTACATCAGATTGCATTCAAGATGAGCGTCATTGATCCGTAACGCGCCTAGGAGAATACTACAGCAAGAATGAAAGCTAGAGTAGAGAATCATACCAGCGTAACAGAACAAGTTTCCAAAAGAAAAAGAGGCTCTCTTGCCTAAGTCATCAGTCCACCCGCAAAGCCATATCTCATACAAACCCAATCATACAGCGAAAAAAGCCCCCAACCCATAAACGCCGCGCAATGCAACACACACCCATCCCTCCCAAACCCTCACCACCGCAACCATATCCCCAACTTAATTATACCGCCTACTCTTACTCGCCCACTCCTCCTCCCTCCTCTTCTTCTCCTCTTCCAACTTCTTCAACTCCCTCGCCACACCCCCACTAGCCCTCCACCAAACATCCGTCCCCGTGCGAATCAGCCTCTCAGCCGCACTAACCGGCCCATCAACCGCCGGCCTAACATCAAGATAAAACACGGGTTGTTCGTCTGCCTCTCCCTCGCCCTCCGCTTCTGCCGTTTCCGGCGCACCCTCATAGTAATCAATAACATAACGAATCTCTTTACACCCCTTCTCATTACATCTTTCCACAAACCAATCATGGCGATCAAACGGCGGCGCTGTCCCGAATTTCTCCGGCATAACATATCCAAGCCACTGCATAATCGTTGCTTTGGGCGTCGGTTCCGTAGGTCTCCCTGTAAACCTGAGTAGTTTGGGTGGCTGCACATCCCTATGATCCCACGTCGTGGTATCAAACGGATCCTCATGGGTACCCAGTTTGAAATTCGCCACGTCCTCGCCTTGCTTGCATATCTCATACCCTTCCTTCAAGCCCCTCGAGAACCTTCGTTCCCAGCCCATGATCTCGGCCCACGCGCCCTCGTTGAGGAAATTGTGCACGCCGACCATGCTTTCCACGGCGGTGATGTCGGTGTCGGTGTAGCCTTTGCGCAGCATGGCGTTGTACATTTGCTGGGGGGAGGGGTACTCCCAGAGGGTGCCGTCGCCTTTGGGGATCGTGGAGGTCTCGCGGTTGAGGGGGAGGTTGACGGATTGGGTCGAGGCGCGCTCGTTGGAGAGTTCCGAGAACATGTTGTTGAGGGGGTTGAGGCGCGAGAGGAGGCCTTGCTTTGGGGGTGGCTCAGAGGCGCTGGTGGAGGCATTCTCAGGTGGGACGTAGGGGCAGGCGCCGGCGGGTGTCTTCTTTTCGGCGACGACGGGCGGGACGGCTTTTTTGTGCATCGGGCATTCTGGCTGGGGAGGTTGTTAGTGGTGAGGGTGTGTGTATGGGGAGTGGAAGGAAGTACTGGAGGTTCCATGCTGCTCATGCTGCCTCGAGGCATGGCGTGCGGCGCAACACGTGCAGCAGGTGCGGCGGGTGCGGTGTCTGCCCAAAACCAACCCATGTTGAGTATTCGTATGGAAAGAGTAGTACGGCGGAAAGAAGAGGCAAGCAAGGGTATATAGGGCTGAAGAAGATGTGACGGGTGGCGGAGATTATCGGGAAGAACAATTTCGTGCAGGGTCCTCGTCGTCATCGCTCTAAGCGCGTTAGGCGTACTCCGATTGGCTCAACATGGCAATGTAGTGAACGTCGATTTGGAAGCTATATTTGGATTTCTTTTTGGTTATGTTCTTGATATCGTACGCATACGCGCAAATATTCTACATATCTCGGTCAAGGCGCCTTGAAATGTGCTGGACCATATTTCTATGATCCTGCCGCCTTCGCCGCCAACTGACCAGTGCCCCGCGAGCTGAAGATGGCCATAATACCAAAACTGCCATAGAACAGAACCATGGGGTACGCTACCAGTCCGCGCATGGAAGTCATGCGTCCTACGAGATGTGTTAGTTCCCATCGACAACCCCATCGGAAGGTTCGACTTACCAACAACAGTAAACATGGAACTGGAGCTGTAGGAACACCATGTGATGGCCAAGCTCGTCAGAAGATATCCAAACAGCCCGTCAAGCGGCACGATGATTCCAAACATCGATACCAGAACAAGAGGGAGCAGGCAGTATCCGAGCACCGATGCCGATCGCGGGAACGTTAACGAGGAGCCGAGATGTGAGCCGTGTGGGTGACCGTGGTCTACTGGTGTCGCTTCGACGACAGGCGGGGACATGAGCGAGAGGATCTGGTGGAGGAGGATCGTGCCAACGAACGCCAGGCCTACCTTCGTTAGCTACTGTCTTTCTCCAAGCAGCTATTTGACTTACCGTAGATGTAACCGAAATGAAGCTTTCCAGACAACTACTCCACGTTAGCTTTCATCTCTTTCTTGATATCGTGTCTCATACCAGTAACGACGTCCCAAAGATCAAGAAGAACAGTATTGGCCCTGCCACATCGCTGTCGTCCATGATGTGCTGATCGATCCGACCGAACGGATTCAGCACAGCCAAGGTCTTCATCTGTATGTGCCTGAAGTTCACTCCCAACTCTTCCAGTAGCGGCGGCTCTCCATCGTATCCTTCCGTGCCAAAAGCCGCCAGCCACCCCGTCCGCAGCCCCGACACGCCCATACCCATCTGCCCGCTCACGCCCGGTGCAGCGAACCCAGCGCCATACTGTGTGGGATACGCTTGACTCGCTGGTGCGCCGTAGTTTGCCTGAAACGGTGTGGAATGGCCAGATACCGGCTGGTTCGAAAATGACGACGGGTAGAATTGGAGGTTTTGCGCATTCCCAGCGCCGTATTGCGGGTTTTGTCCGTAGCCGTATTGCGCCATTGTCTGATATGCGAGTGTGTGAGGTTTAGCGACGAAGAGTAGGTATCGGGATGTAGCGATCTGGCGTTGGGTAGGTCGTGCAGCTGGTGCCTGGCGGAGGTGGAGCGGACGTGTCCTGGGGAGATGTGGTACGTGGAGCGAGAGACGACGTCACCGGGGATTTTTGCGCGGAAAGGACAGATTGCGTGAAACGGGGGTGTTGGGTTTGGAAAGGGAGGACTCGCGCGCTGAAGTGGGAAGACGACAATTGTTTGTTTGCAATGTTGGGGCTCAATCTGGCAGCCACATGTCATCGTGTGCATCGGCCCTGGCCAGCCGTCCACAGGCCGATGGGGGCTTGGCAGCGACGCGAGGACCTCAAGCAAAGTTAACGCTGTGACTATTTAACGACCACGTCTAAGCTATAGTTGTACGAAGCTTATGAATATTCACTCGTTGTTTTTTTCATCCTCAACAGGGGATTAGCATAATAGACGGGGGTCCGCTAACTGGAGCGGTTCTCTGGCGAATATAACGCAACGGCTTGAATCCCTCCTGCATCACCCAGTCCAAACCAATAACCGTACCCTCTTCATCGCGTATGAATACCAGAAGAAATTGCTCGTAGCTCGAGTAATCCACCAAGCATCCCAGTAGGATCTGGTTCGCGTCTTCCGAGAAAAAGCTAAACGTGTCGTTGTGATAGTGTTGAAGGTGACGCCGCTGCGTATCATTACCATTCCGCCTCATCTCCAACTGATGGATCTCCCTGTTCGTGTGCACTTGAATGAGTCCACATACATCATCGTCACAGTAACTGCCATGGAAGTCTCTGAGCTCAGGCTGGCCCGTTCTTGGTTTGCGATTCCGATGCCAGTCCTCCCGCATCTTGCCATGAAGGCTCAGACTACTGACAGATGCCTTCTTCGCCCTCATTTCGAAATCAACTTCCGGTTTCATGTCGAAGAGTGATTGGACGAGCATCTGAGCCACGAGATCAGAGCAGTCTCCAGCGCTCTGCGCGTTCGTTAGGACCACTACAGCTGATTTGGTCTCTGGGAAGAGGTAGATCGAGTTCAGGTAGCCAGTCACTTGGCCTCCGTGGTATAATGTTAGTCGCGGCGGCGATTCTCGACCGATGATATCGTCTTTCTGCGGCCCGTTGGTGGACAGCCATCCGAGTTGTGTCGAAGGGATCATGTGTCTTGCCCATCCAAATCCATAAGTGTTCTCGTTGATGGTGTCATCTGTGACGGGGAATTTCTGGGACGTGATTTGACTGATATGCTTGAGCGGGTTCAACAAGATGGCTGGAGTCTTCCCCGCTTTCTCTTGCTCCAAGCGTTCCAACACTGCTCGCGACCAGATGAGCATATCCACGATGTTCGACCATATTGCCATGGCCGCTCCGCAAATAGACCTGTCTGAAACTTGAGGCGCAGGTAAACGCCATGGACCCGTTTTGTTCTGGTGTTCATTGCCCAGGACCATATGCGGCTCAGCCAAATTGCCGCGCTGGATGTCGCTTCGCGAACACGTCGATCGAATCATCCAGAGCGGATCGAAGATTCTCTTCTTGACGAACCCTCCCCAGCCATCCACGGCATCCTCGCCACCTACCGCTTCAATCACTCTACCCGCTAGGGCGTATGGCCAGTTGGAGTAATGAAATTCCTTTCGAAAGGCGTCGTCGTGTACTGGCATGTTGGCAGTAATCTGCAGTAAATGTTGTGGAAACATCAGTGTCTCGCCGAAGGATCCGTACCACGCGATATCGAGCTGAGGAAATCCGCTGGAATGAGACAGAGCGTCTGACAAACTCATACGCTCGCCTATGACAGGATCTTTGTTTTGGGTAAAGGGTATGTATGTGGATAGCGGTTCGGTCCAGCTCAGTTTGCCCTCGTCGACAAGTATACCACAAGACGCGGCGATGAAAGCCTTGGTGAGTGATCCGATCATATAGACAGTGTCATGGTTGACCGGGCGACCTGTTGATGTATCGGCGACTCCTCGACTATACTGCATTATCATCTCGCCCTCGTGAATGACGCCGAGGGAGAGAGAAGGACATCCGGTGATTTCCATCAACTTCCAGATTTTAGGTAGACAAGCCCATAATCTGTTACAACATCAGTACAAGTCCTATCATATTATCGGTGTCGGCAGAGTGACCATACCTATCCTCTGCTGCGAGACGAGGATGAGTTGGCTTTGCGGCGGTAGGATCCATGACTTATCCACGAATCGATAGTGATAGTGATAAAGTGATCCTCGGTTTGCGAACACTGAAGACAGGTAACTTTACTGGATGATGAATCGACCGAACAATAAACGCAGGTGAAGGTGAGGAAGTCGAGGACGACAACCACGGACGTGTTGACGTGCCGCGAATAGGCGACAACACAGACAGGCAGGAGCGTGTCTGCCGAAACGGGCTAGATCGACCACGCCCATTTCCCGCATGATAGGTGAAAGAAGGAACGAGCACACAAATGCGAATTTGATGTTGCAGACGTAGCGTCAACAATTGTGTTCATAGATTTGAGGGGGGTATCTAGTCCTAATGCTAAGAGGGGAGGGAAGTCATAAATCATCAATCATAAACCCAGCAATACTTTTGCTGTTGGTCGAGGAGGTATCCAAGCTCTACTCAAGCGACGAAGGCCAAATTCAATACATTTCCCTGGTCCTCCGCGAGGTATAGTTGCACCAGTCGCACTGTAGACAAGTTAGTGATGTTTACACGCCTCATCGCACCATACTAACCAGAGTATCGGAAGACGCATCGTTATCCTCACGGCAGTACTCGTTGTTGCATTTCCTGCAAGTGCGGATGAAAAGCTCCTTACAGCTGATGCACGTATGACCACAGCCAAAACAGTCACGTCTCACGCCGACAACCTGTATGTTTTCACGTCAGCCTATTTCTTGATCAAAAGGTGAGCACATACCTTGGCGCGCAAGTGCCAGTCTCCAGGTGCAATTATCCAATATAGCCAGGCTCCGGGTTCCGGAATCCAACTACATCGTAACGGCCTCATGGTAGCATCGCTGCTCGCGCGCCAAGGTAGGTCCTTCATCCCCACATCCCGTCGCTACCGGCTCCGGCCATCATTTCCTCACGGAGGCAGTGTTCCACGCAGAGGCCCATATGTACCTTGATGGTTTGCTTGGGGAGCAGTTGACTGGTCCCGTCGGGTTTGAAGCTCTCGGTGAGCTCGGTCTGCTGTAGTTCCGTTCGTTGGGCGGTGACCGATCCAATGTAGCAGTTCTCATCCCACCACTTGTGACATCTCTCGCACCAGCGTCCTTTCAAGCAGTCCTCGCATCGCACTATGAGAGGGGAAGGGGCGGACCCGTCGAGAGTGTGCGGTATTTGGGCGGCGCGAACGGAGGACCCATGAAGTGGTACCGGACTGAGTAACGGATGATGGGACGGACTGGAGTCGCCAAATACTGCCGGGCCTTCTGGAGAGGAGTGGCATGTTTCGCAGCCGGACGGACCTAGCGCTACAGTGGCTACTGTAGGCCGCAGGAAAGAGGACGGGTGGGGTGCTCCATCTGCAGTCGCGTCTCTGACGTACGCCTTGCTTGGGTCGTGGCGTGGTCCTCTGCACAGAACGGCATCGAAGGCGATAATGCCTTCGCACGCCTGGAGTATCTCTGCCCATTCCGGCGACGGCCGCTTCGGTATGATCTTACCAGAAGACTGGTACCACTTGTCCTCGGTCCGCGCCAGTACAGCTTCCAAGGCCTGCTGCGACTTCTCGTTCCATTGCGCCCCTATCTGCGCCCCTTGTGAAGTCGTCACGCCCTTGGGAATATGTGGGGAAGGCTTCTTCGTGACGGGCGACGCAGGGCGCGGTATTCGATCGCGGGTGCCAAAGATGTAGATGCCTTTGACTCGAGGGGTGCCCGCAGGCCTGGACGGTCGGACCGCATATCGCAGGTATTGCTGAAGCTTCCTCTCGTTCAAGTGTTTGGCTTCGCGAATCGAGAGTATGCGGACGTTGAATCGCTCCTCAGTAAGCAGTTCCTTGACCAGTTCGGCTGTGACGCTGAGCCCGTCTAGTACGAGTGTGTGGACATTGCGCAAGACGTGCAGCTTCTCAAGTCTGTTGAAGATGTGACGTAGCGGACCGCTGTAGAAGTCGTCTTCGGTGAGGGCTTCGTCCATTCGCTCAGCGCGGAAACTGGTACCGCCGATATCAAGAGGTCCATCGAAGGGTACAATAGTAGACTTCACCGGAGAGAGATCCAAGTAGCGAAAGGCCTCTGGCGACTGGAAGATAACATGGTGTAGGGATTTGCAGGTTCGCGACAGGTTACGGAGAGCAGATATTGGCAGGTACGGGGCAGTTTGGCGCAGGATCAAGGTGTTGGAAAGCAGGTCCGCCAGGGATGTAGGAAGGTCGTCACTGAAGGTAGAAGGGCCCATGGTGAGGGCTCGGGGAATGCAACCAGAGAAGTTTGGCCAGAGGTTAGATGGGTACTCACCGAATCTTTATTACACAGCGCGAGGGCAGGGCGGAGTAGCACGTGCCACTGATCTGACACTGCAGGTGTGTGTTGGATGAGCAAAAGGAAAGACTAATCGAGGTTGAGACGCTGCAGGAGATGGGGTTGTGGGTGCGTGGGATACCGCCGATGCTTCGTTCCCTGCGGCGATCGCAAGCGCAAGACCCTGCCAAGAGGCGTGGTAGCAGGACACGCAAAGCTTCCTGCATAGGACCTGCACGATCAGGCCGCGATGAAGCATAGATTGGAACACGTCTTGCAGCCAAGCCCGCGCTGCAAGTCTTGGTGGTCGAGTGGAAACAGGCTAAAACAGTCGCTGCGAGATGTCAGGTAGGCGACGCGACGCGCAAAGCCGCCGGGGGATGTTCGCCCCACGTTGGCCGCTTAGAACATGAATCGACATATCGAAACTCACCGGAGCATTGGCATGGACGACACAGATATGGTTTAGGTGCCCGGAGAGATTCTCGCATCTTTCTTGAGACGCGTACTTCTGTTGATCAATTATGATGAATTATTCAAACACGTCTACACATATATGGGCTGTATGTTGCGAGATACTCATGCATGCTCGTGGCTCTTTCGGTGTGTCCAAGAAGCTTAGTCACCGTGTCGCAGTTGTATCGGGAAACCATCGCTTGCACTGTGAAAGATGGTAGACCAAATATAGAATATACATGACGACTACGAGTAGTGAAACTATATTTCTGCTGTATACTTTCAACGGTGGCGGTATCTTTACGCGTTACCACGCGAGGGTTATCGATAAGCCAAGCGGGCCGAGGCGAGGGCAGCGCAATGACGCCAGTCATTCACCGAAGCTTCGAGTCGCGAGGCGCATATGTCAGCCATCTCACGCCTCTGAACTACGACGTACCATCATTCATGTGTTCCCACCACAGTCATTACCTTCACCTTTTAGTACCTGACGCAAAACAACCATGGATCCTGAAGCAGAGCCAGCAGAGCTGAAGTGGTCCGCGCAATACGAACTCGCACATGCGACGCGAAGCACGCTACCCGGCGACAAACTACTCCTTCCCCCATCCGCGTTAGAGCAGCTCCTTGCCGCAGCACCTGTCGTTCACGTCGATGCGAATCGACCGCACATCACCGCTTTCGATCCTTTCAACCCATACACCTTCAACGCCGAGCGCCACGCCCGAGCACAAACGCAGGACCGCTTCCAGCAACTACCCCACCCGCTTACCTTTCGCTTGGTCAACCCGGATAATGGCAGAGTTGTACATGCAGGAATACGCGAGTTCTCTGCAGAAGAGGGCGAGGTTGTGCTGAGCAGCTTTCTGAAAGAGGCGCTGGGAATCAAGGAACAATCGGCAGAGCCTTCCAGGAATGCCAGCCCGAATGGCAAGGACGACGATGACGTGGCCATGTCAAACGGTGCAATTCCTCTGGGGACAGAAGGTGCTGCATCTACCAAGATCACAGTGCATGCTAAGCAATTACCCAAGGGCACCTTCGTAAAGCTACGGCCTCTCGAAGCTGGCTATGACCCGGAGGATTGGAAGTCGCTGCTTGAAGAATATCTCCGGTCCAACTTCACAACTTTGACAAACGGCGAGGTCCTGGCTATAAACGGTGGTCGGGGAGTTGATGGCAAGCGCGAGGAGTTTCGCTTCCTTGTAGACGGCTTCAAGCCCGAAGGAGATGGCATTTGCGTGGTAGACACAGACTTAGAGGTGGATATCGAGGCATTGAACGAAGAACAAGCACGCGAGACTATGAAGAGGATAGCTGCCAAGATGCATCGCGCTCCTGGAACATCACAAGGCAGTTCCACCGGCGGTGAGGTCGACATATTCAACGCGCAGCCTGGACAAGTGCTTGACGGCGAATACGTCGACTACGAACTGACATCCTGGGACAGATCTCAGGGGCTGGAAATCCTTCTAGACGAAGTAGAGGATGGTGATGAGATCGACTTATATGTCAGTCCGTACTCTTCACGACAAAGAGTTCGCCCACGAGAAGAGGAGCATGTTTTTGCAAATATAAGAAGCCAATATCCCAAGCGCATACGATTACAGCCTACAAACATCGAACTAGAGGACGCAGAAGCTGTATGGATCTCAGTTCATGCATATCCGTCTGAATCACCCTCAAGCACGCCCAAACCCTTCCGTCTGAAGGTGTCGATTTTCGATCCCAAGACAGAAGGAATGGATGGGCTGGACGAGGCTCTTGATAATGCAAAAGCGGTGGGACCGGACGAAGTGATCTGCAAGAACTGCCAACAAGTAGTGCCTAAAGGCTCACTATTCTTGCACGAGAACTTCTGTCTAAGGAACAATATTCTTTGCCCCCAAGGCTGTGGTCAAGTCTTCCAGAAGCGATCGCCGGCCTTCCAGAACCATTGGCATTGTCCACACGATACTTTCAGCGGGAACACCACATTAAGTCACCAGAAGCATGACGCTCTCTACCACACACCACAAATGTGCTCAACATGCGACATGGAATTCCCATCAATGCCCATGCTCTCCCATCACAAAACGACCGTATGTCCCGGCAAGCTAATCCTGTGCCGCTTCTGCCACCTCCAAGTCCCGCAAGAAGGCGACCCCAACGACCAATCCCCCGAACTCCTCCTCTCAGGCCTCACCCCCCACGAGCTAGCAGACGGCGGCCGAACAACCGAATGCCACCTCTGCAACAAAATCGTCCGCTTCCGCGACATGGACACACATCTTCGGCATCACGATCTCGAGCGCCTATCCCGCCCCCCACCATGCTTATGCCGCAACGTAAACTGCGGCCGTACCCAAGACGGCGCAAACAAAGCCGGCGACACCCGAGCCGGGACGCGCAAAGGCCAAGGCCCCGGCAACGAAATCGGCCTCTGCAGCGTCTGTTTCGGTCCTTTGTACGTCTCGCTGCATGACCCAGAAGGCAAAGCACTGCGTCGCCGTATCGAGCGTCGTTACCTCTCCCAGCTCCTGACCGGCTGCGGGAAAGCGTGGTGTAAGAACGAGTACTGCCGCACTGGTCGCAAGAACCTAGGCCAGGAAGATAAATCCATTCCGACTAAAGATGCTATTCCGCTTGTTAAGTCTTTCCTGCAGGGTATGGATGGGAGGGGGTATGAGACCCCGTTGCACTTTTGCGTGGACGAGAGGACGCAGAAGTGCAGGACGTTGGCTGAGATGGTGGCTGCTGAGAAGGGGATTGAGGGGAAGGGGGGTTATGGGTTGGAGTGGTGTGTTGCGGCTATGGAGGCTGAAGGTGGGGATTTGGATAGGGCGAGGAGTTGGCTTAAGGGGTGGGCGCCGCAGAGGACGGAGGCTGGGGTGTGAGATGGTAGGGGTTCAAGTGTTTTGATGAGGTGTTTGTAGATGGGTGGGTGTGTAGAAGCATGATGGATGGTGGTTGGAGCATATAGACTAGATTAGAGAGATACCCAGTAACGATGTCAACGAGATCGCATAGGCCTAGAGCACGGCAAGGTGGATTTGTGATATGCATAGATCCGATAGACAGGATCTATGCATGTCACAAATCCACCGTGCCGTACCCTATCGCAGTCATACACACAAGCCCTACCACACCTCCATCCCACCCCCCTTCTTCACCTTCACAAGCCAAACCCTACAATTTACTCTTCCCCCCCTTACCCCCTCCCTCCCTCTCCGTCTGCCTCCCCATATCCTCCGTCTCACTCGTCTCCGCCTTCAAACTCGCCGGATCACCCAGTTGCGTCTTATTCACCTTGTTTCCATCGTCGTTCGCAAGCGTCCCTCGTACTTTCTTGCTGTGAGGTAGATCTTCCTTTCCTTCCTCTTTCTTGCTACCTGCACTCCCGCCGTTGCCGATCGCTTTCTTGTCTGCGCCGTTGTCTGCGCCCCCGGCTGATGTGCCGGATTTGACGTAGGGGGCTGAGGGCGTGGGTGCGCCGATGGAGGAGGTTTCTCTTGATGGCGGGGAGGAGGAGGAGGAGGAGGAAGAGGTGGAGGAGGAGGAAGGTGCGTCGTTTGAAGGGAAAGTCTTGCTATCGTCGTTTTCAGGTTTCAGACTGACGTGGTCGCCGAGACGGGGAGTGGGTTTATCGGAGGTCATGGCTTCTTTGGTCTTTGGGTTTGAGAGGGTGCCGCGGACGGAGGAGGAGTGCGATGTGTCGACCATAATTGCTGACCAGGGTAGTTTTTCTTGTATGATTTGTATGATGAGTATGATGTGTATGAAGTCACAGTTACGTTCGAGGTATTTGACCGCGGAGAATGAAATCTGGGGAAAGAGGCTGGTTATGACATCTAGACCTTACCTGTACCTCGGCAGCTACGCAGCTACATCATTGAGAGATAGTGCGTGCTTTGGTGGTGGGAACACTGGATGGAGTGTCTAGCGCGTGGGCATGACGTCTTGCATTGTGAGGCGCGTTGTCACATGAAGATCTTGGTGATGATTTTGCGCGTTTTGGATTCCTTCAGAATATTGTTCGATTCAAAAACTGCTTGGGACCCATTGATCGCAGACCTTGGAGTTGAGGTTTTGAAGTGTTGACGATTGTTGTGGCCGTGAACGAATGAGGTTGTGCTGATGGCTTACAGAGCGGCGGAGCCCCAAGCTCCCCACAACCCGTCCCGCCGTTACACCTCGGCATCTATGCTACCCCAGAGTCTCGCGAGCTCCGCAGTTATGTCCTCACTGAACGCGAAGGCAGCACGCGCAATTCACACTGCAAACACTATCAATGCGCCATCATGGACGCGAAATACTCCCACCTGTTGTCTGTTCCCTGGGCCGCTGCCTTAATTAACGACCCCAACTGGACGCCGATGGAGACCAGCTCGCGGTCAGTAAAGCCATCAGGGGAAGACTCCTTCTTCGCAGGAACGCTTGGCACTGATCGCACAATAACAACGCTTCTTACCTTCCGTCCGAAAAATGAGGAAACAGGCGACA